TCCTTTAAATTCCATATTCATCTGTCAACCTCTGACTTAGGTATACTTATCTAAAAACAAAAACTACAATGTTATATATTGCAGCTTAGGCTTAGCAGCCCTTAGATGCTGTGGCTGCCTTTGTTTTTGTTTTTTTTAGGCTTTTCTCTTTTATTTTTACTTGATGATCCTACCAGTAACACACTTCCTGGCAGCTACAAGAAATCTTTGAGGTTTAAACAAATGTTCATACCCTGTGTAATAAACAATACAAGGCATGAAAAAAGTCTACCATTGTTATCATCACACTTGGATCACACTGCCAGTTTTGTGTACTCTAGAAGAGAAGGCTCTTACATCAATATTTATTGAACTATAAATATTTAGCTTACATTCATACTAAAGTATGTTTTTATAAGAAAATGAAAAGGCATATGCAGAAAAGGTAATATTTATTTAAAAAAAGGGATGGCCTTTAATGCAATGAGGGGAATTTACAAAAACTGGAGCAGCAGACAGACCTAATCAGCTTCAATCTTTAGCTTGTTCAGGTAAGCTTTGAAAATGAAAACTAGAAACTGATTGGTTGCTATACAGATTGGGGGGAATTGATCAAAACTGGGGCAGACAAAATCTAGTGCAGTTGACCATGGCAACCAATCAGCTTCTCTTTTCAGTTTGTTCAGGTAAGATTTGAAAATGAAAGAAAGGAGCTGATTGGTTGCTGTGTACAGCTGCTCCAGATGTTGTCTGCTCCAGTTTTGATAAATTCCCTTAATTGTGTCTGCTCTAGTCTTAGTAAATTCCTCTTAAAGTGGGGAATTCAATAAAGCCCCATTGTCAACATTACTGGTTGTTAAGAAAGCTGCTGGCTGTACGCTGTTTGCGTGACAGGTGCAGTGGCTGGAGAAAACGCTTGGTAATGCGAAGCCTGTGATTTTAATAAGAAGTAAATGAATAACCCAACACATACAGTACTGTGCAAAAGTTTGCGCCAGGTGTGAAAAAATGCTGTAAAGAATGCTTTCAGAAATATATATTTTTATTGTTTATTTTTATCAATTTACAAAGTGCGTGAACAGAAGAAAAATCTAAATCAAATCAATATTTGGTGTAAGCACTCCTTGCCTTCAAACCAGCATCAATTTTTACACTTGAGCAAAGTCAGAGATTTTGTAGGATTAAAGTCAGGTGTATGATTAACCAATTATACCAAGCAGGTGCTAAGGATCATCAATTCTATATATAGGTTGACACACAGTCATTAACTGAAACAGAAACAGCTGTGTAGGAGGCGTAAAAATGGGTGAGGAACAGCCAAACTCGGCTACTAAGGTGAGGTTGTGGAAGAGTTTGATGTCACAGGTCATACACCATGGCAAGCATAGCAACAAGACACAAGGTAGTTATACTGCATCAGCAAAGTCTCTCCCAGGCAAAGATTTCAAAGCATACTGGAGGTTTCAAGATGTGCTATTCAAGCTCTTTTGAAGAAGCACAAAGAAACGGGCAAAGTTGAGGACTGTAGACGCAGTGGTTGGCCAAGAAAACAATGCAGCAGATGAAAGACACATCATGCTTACTTCCCTTCGACATTTTATTCCTATCCTCATATACAGTATATTCTTCAGCAGGACAACAACCCCAAACATACAGACAATATCATTAGGAACTAACTTCAGTGTAAAGAACAAGGAGTCCTGGAAGTGATGGGCTGGCCTCCTCAGAGCCCTGATCTCATCATGGAGTCTGTCTGGGATTACATGAAGGACTTGAGGCAGCCGACATCCACAGAAGATCTGTGGTTAGTTCTCTAAGATGTTTGGAACAACCTACCTGTCGAGTTCCTTAAAAATCTGTGTGTAAGTGTACCTAGAAGAATTGATGCTGTTTTGCAGGCAAAGGGTGGTGACAACAATTATTGATTTGATTTGGATTTCTTTTCTGTTCATTTAATTTCCATTTTGTTAATTGATAAAAATAAACTATTAACACTTTTATTTCTGAAAGTATATTTACTTTACAGCATTATTTCACACCTGCCGAAAATTTGCAATTTTATTTTTTGGGGTAACATACACTTTAAAAATATACCTAACAGCCACAAAATTGTTTAGCAGCACAAACACGGATGTGTGAAGGGAAACAGAGGAACTTTAAATAGTTAAAAATGGTTGCTTACAGTTTTAAGTGTTTCTTACTTGCTTAGAAATCCTACCTAGCTTCCCCCTATGTAATGTTAAAACCCTCTGTCCTAACAAAGGGTTAAAGACATAGAAGCATTGTATGTTCATGAGAAGACGCTCAGTCTGGCCATCTAGTTTCACTTTTAAACTGCTCAGAGTAGTCTGGAGTCTGCACATAAGGAAACATCAAAGAAACATCTAGGAGGTAAGTAATCTTGTCATTGACGACAACATGCCAGCAACTGAATCACTATACAGAGAAACTACTCACCTGCTTTCATGCGACACTCCCTTGCTGGCAGGTGACATTCTGCAGCACTTCCATTAGAGGGGGAAGGACAAGTGACAACAGGTATAGTGATCCTGACAAGTGTGAGCTGTCACCAGTGACAAGATAGCAAGTGCAGCATGGATCATATACTATACTTAACCATAGATTCTTTCAGTGGAATATTGTTTTAGTAAAAGAGTTGAATGTTTCACAAATTGATTTCACTATAGAAATAGTTGGTCCTGGCGGAAAATGACATTGAATTCTATTGCTCCCGTCTCACCCTGATTTATAACAACAATTTATAAACTCCCTAAATAGCCATTCCACTCCTTATTATTATCAGTAAGAAGTGGTGCCCCAATGCATTCCAGGCGCAGCAAAACAAAAGGTGTGCAATGTCTTAAGCTGGCCATACACCTTACATCCATCGCAAGACTTCTGTCTTGCGGTGGTTGAAAGGTAATTTAAAAAAAACGTATGATCTGCCCATCTTGGACAGGCAGATTGTACTTGCGATCATCGCATGCCCGCCCCATTGAGGGGCGGGCTTCCGATGACTGCAATGCAGACCGGCCCGTGCGGCATTTGTCTTGCGAGCAGGCCACAAACCTGCCGACAATTGTACGATTCTCGGCGGGTTTTCGAGCCTACTCGTAAGACATAAGACGTGCGCCCGTACAATAGAAACGGTCGCACGCCTTCCATACACCGGACGATTATCGTACGATCGCGGGATTTCCCGCGATTATCGTACGGTAATCGGCAGGTGTATGGGCACCTTTACAGTCAGCTTTCTTTCTAAGTCAGCCACAGCCTGACCAGAAAAGCCTGTCCCCTGCAGTGTGGGAACTTGCTCTCTATGTGGAAGCAGGGGTCTCTCTACAGAGGTCCAACATCCCAGATAGCAAGCAAAATGACTTGCTAAACTATTGCAGGCTTGCCAAGCTTCACAATTTTTTGCACAATTACAGCAAGTCTGCATTGCAAGTCTCCAGAGCAACGTGCTGTACACTTGCAGGGCTCTAGCTAAGACCTGCAGGACTCTTGCTGTAGACTTGGCAAGCAAATTTGCTACAAATTCCAAAAGTGTCAACTAGAACTTGTGCTGCAAGTATTCTGCAAGTCTACAACGTGCTAGGAATGTGTGCAGCAAGCTAACAAGAATTACAATTGAACCCTGCCACAGGTTTATGGCAAGTTATCCTTGCTATCTGGGATGCTCCCTCCTGAGTCAGAACTACACCTGCTTGGAGAGCGCTGACTCAGCAGAGGATGTTTTGGAGCTCTGCAGAAAGACCACTGCTTACCCACACAGAGCAATGGCGCTGCTGCACAGCTACTGACAAGGGACAGGCTCTTTTACTCAGGATGTGACTGATTTTCAAAGAAACAAACATTTAAGCTTTGCACTCCTTTTGTGTTGCTGCGCCTGGAATGTATTCTCTGATTCAACTAAACCTTCAATTTGGCTTTCACTAAACTCCTGAGCTAAGCTAACATTTAACTTCACAACGGTCAGGTAAACACCTTGAGCTGCGCGCCAACAAAACTAGTTTGCTAACATTTTTCTCAGCGGCAAAAAGGTGATAAATCCCGGGTAACGACGCATTGAGCTCTGGGATTGTAGTTTATTTCCCTGAATCTATCAACACGTGGTATAAATCCAACCCCACGCCATGGACTATAACACCCAGAATCCTTTAGACACGAGACGTTGGTGGGCGGGGAAAGCTGCGAAGGGGAGCAGCTGGTGCCTTGCCCGCTTGGCGTCGCCGTTTCCATGCAATGTGCTCCTTTTCCCTAGCAACTACGCCCAATCCTATTCTGGTAGCTGCTACGCCAGAGCATCAGCGTAGCCTCCGTGTATTGGGCGGCCACTACGTTACGCAGTCTCCGCCTGTGATTGAAACTAGTGTATTATTTCACCTCCAATGGTTCATGCGAAGATTACTGGCCATGCCTGTCACAGCCGCATCCCTCATCTCCCCCAATAATGATCATTAATGCCGCGGCTCATTAGTTTATCCTTTCTTTAGGATTACCTTTCTCTATTATCTCTCCAGGGAGCGCTCGATGTGATTTATCGACCTCTTTACCGCTCCTGCTGTCCATAGATGTCATATTTTTTTTCTGTAGCGTATTTATACATTTAGCCCAGCCTCTTCCATCTCCGCTCTGCATGCTGAGTGGCGTGATTTATTCTGTGGATGGGCAGAAGACGCTGCAATGAAGCTGCTGCTCCCTGCTGGACTTTGCCTGGCTGATCACTAGGGACGTGCATTAGAAAGTCCTTCTCCCCCATCAAGAAGAAATCAGCCCCCATGCTCATCCTTTGCATCCCACCTGTTTGTGATAGCAATAAAACTTAGAAAGTGCGGAGCCTGTTGGTGGCACTTGGGTGGCATGCGATGCATTTTGCAATGAAGACATTCATGGAGGCACTGTCATCCTTCCTGCTGGGGAGATCTGGCATCAGCCTGGACAGGGGATTATGGTGGCACTAGATAGCTGCATTAGCTGTGCGCTGTGTAGGGAAATCTGGTCCTGACAGCAAGAGGCTTCCCTGGTGGAGGAGGAGCTGCCCGCAGGAGAGGACACCCTGCCAGGAGGAGAATCTTGTGCCACCCTTCATCTCCGATCCCCCGCTTCCACCGTGTCCTTGTTGGATCATGGCGGACAGGACAGCTCCTGGATGCCAGCTGCGCCTGGAGTGGGTCTATGGGTACAGGGGGCACCAGTGCCGCAACAACCTGTACTACACGGCCGGCAAGGAGGTGGTCTACTTCGTGGCTGGGGTAGGGGTGGTCTACAACACCCGGGAGCACAGCCAGAAATTCTTCCTAGGCCACAACGATGACATTATCAGGTAAGGAGAAGCATGCAACAATTATCATTGAGAGGGATGAGGACCGACATGGGACACATGTCTGTTTACTGCATACATTGGGTGCATGGCTGGGCAGCTGCCGGTCTGGTTGACATCAGTGGTCCACAGTCAGTGGCTTGGGTGCCACATGTGACTCTAAGCTGTCCCTGATGTGCTTGTACGCTAGCTCTGGTATGGGTGTGAGCTATCTCTGATATGGCTTTAGCTAGCTCTGATGTGGCTTTAGCTAGTTCTGATGTGGCTTTAGCTAGCTCTGATGTGGCTTTAGCTAGCTCTAATGTGGCTGTAGACTAGCTCTGGTGTGGCTGTTGACTATCTCTAATGTGGCTTAAGCTAGTTCTAACATGGCTGTAGACTAGCTCTGGTGTGACTGTGAACTATCTCTGATGTGGCTTTGCCTAGCTCTGATGTGTCTGTACACTATCTCTGATGTGGTTTTAGCTACTTCTGGTGTGACTGTAGACTATAGATTTGGTGTGGCTGTAGACTAGCTATGATGTGGCAGTAGACTATCCCCGTTGTGGCTTTAGCTAGTTCTAATTTGACTGTAGACTAGCTCTGATGTGCCTTTAGCTTGTTCTGATGTGGCTGTTGACTATCTCTGATGTGGCTTTTGCTAGCCCTGATGTGACTGTAGGCTAGGTGGGATAAACCTCTAGACTAGCCCTTATGTGGCTTTAGCTAGCTCTGATGTGGCTACTGACTACCTCTGATGTGGCTTTAGCTAGCTCTATGTGGGTTGAAGAAGCCTTTCAAATAGGTTGAGAAACTTGAATTCAATTTGCAGTGGGTTCTCCAACAAGAATAATTTGAGGTATGAGAATTGACAGGGAGCCACATGTCTGTGTACAGTTGCCAGCATAATTGACATAGGATATAGCCAGGCAGTGGCTTGTGTACAGTGTTTGGCTCTAAGCTGTCTCCATATCATGGTATTGACTGTCTCCTATGTGGCCTGAAGCAGTCTTTCACATCAGTTCATTTCTATATAAAAATATTTAGAGATACTCTAATTCAATTTGCTAAGGGTTCTGCAACAACAATAATGAAAGGTATGAGAATTTACAGCTGTCAGCCTAATTGACATCAGTGGCCCCTTGGCAGTGATTTGTGTACCACACAAGGGTCTAAGCCAGTGGTGGCGAACCTTGGCACTCCAGCTGTTTTGGAACTACAAGTCCCATGAGGCATTGCAAGGCTCTGACAGCCACAGACATAACTCCCAGAGGCAGATGCATGTTGGGATTTGTAGTTTTGGCACAGCTGGAGTGCCAAGGTTTGCCACCACTGGCTAAGCTATCTCTGATGTGACTGAAGCCTGTATTTGATGTGGCTTTAAGAAGCCCTTCATATAAATTCATCATCACTATGTAGAAAGGTTGAGAAACTCAATTTCAAGTTGCAGATGATTCTGCAACAATAATAATTAGATGCATGAGAACTTACAGGGGTCACATGTCTGTTTATGCATGCGTTGGGCTAATGCAGGGCTGGACAAATCCCAGGAGCCAGGTAGCCAATACACCATTAAAATTACAGACAGCACCTAACTTTTGAGATTTCCTCTAATTGTTGTCATTGGAGCTGTTTCCTAAAAATAATCCTGCTGGTTTATGGATTGGACTGACTGGCTGCTGAATTCCATATTAATCTGTCCAGCCCTGGGCTAATGGGTGTGCAGCCGACACCCCAATTTATTTCAGTGGTCCCCAGGTACTGGCTTGTGAGGCACATTTGCTTCTAAGTTATCTCTAATGTATCTTCAGCATCAGTACATGTTGAGGAACTTGGAGGGTTTTTGCCAAACCCAACTTTATTCAGTTACATAGTAACATTGCCACACCAGAGATATGGCATAGAGACCCATCTGTGCCCTGGATGATGATTGCCCGCATATATATCATGGGTACCACCAAATGTTTGACTTGTTTTTTTAATCAAATTGTTCATCTCTCTACCTTCGCAGGAATATGCTTTGTTTTTGCAACAATAAGGTTTCAATTTTACTAGCAGTTGTAACTTTGTTTTGCAAGATACTGGGCGTTCCCAAAAAAAGAAAAGCTACATAAATATAGTAAATTGGTGTATTTATGTGATAGCTTTGCTACTATTAGTTGAATATTGGTAAATATTAGATTACAGTGTAAGCATTTTTATTATTTTGTACAGTTTCTATGTCTTTGCTCCAGCTCCAATGGGCTATTTTCAAGAGGAACTTTACCCATATCTTTAATATAACAACAAAGACACCCTTAGAAATGTTTAGTAATGACATTCTACAAACAGATACTTATAGATAATTGCTGCTTTTTATTCTTTGCATATCTTATTTCTCTTTTCTTCCCCAGTCTTCTGACAGTGGCCATTGTAACTAAGGGCAGATTTCTAGATCTCCTTTTGCTTCCTGGATTACTGGCACATGTGACTAGGACATGTGACCATGCACATCATCTCAGGGGAGGAAAATGCCTTTGCCTGAGATGTCGCGAGATTACAGATAAGATTTGCCAACAATGCTCTGCTGATGTAACCTTCCCAAACATGACATTCTATCTATTTTTTGCAATTGCAGCAGGCAACAGGGGGTAGGTAAACCTGCAGATCAACCGCCTGGTTTTACCACCTCCTTGCCACCCATGTGAACCAGGCCTAATAGCTACGTCTACTACAATGTATCACATGATCCCCGTGGCCCATTCAGGGATCATTTATTATACGTACATTGTCCCAAGCAGGGCCAGTGGAAGCAAATATAAATGTTTAATGCCGGAATTCATCTTTAAGCACAAAGCATGTTGGTTGATAGGAATAGAAGCGTCGTCGTGTGGTGTGGGAGAGGTGAGCACTGGAGAGTTATCAGGCAGTTACCTCAGGAATTCCCTCAGGACATTGCTTGGAAACTTGTCTACAGACATTACATGGAAACTGGCAGTAAATGACCAGGTCTGATGGTTATGGAATGAAGGGAGTGTTGTGTTTACATCTCTTTGTCTTTCTTCAGATGGTTTCTATGTTATAAAGGAGAGGCAATGAAAGGTCAGATTTATCTACAAATATGGGGCTGCAGGTACTCTTGAAGTGAATGTCCATTGATCCTCCCATTGTTACCCGTTTAGTTATATGAAGTGGCTGTTTCTGGTCTAATGACTGCTGCACATTTCTCCATATCGGTCCCTCGGGGTATGCTACAGGTGATTACAGTGAATACATTATCTATTTAACGGATGAGGCTTCTTGATAATTTAAGCATATATTCCTATACCTTGGATACATTAGCTAAGTTTCACTTGCTGCTCATGCACAACACATTTGTTTTTATCTAATGTGACAGTTTTTTAGTAAAATTTGGAGTGTGTGGTACAATAAAGCGATAGACAAGCACAGATAGAGGTGTATCTAGCCATAACAGCCCAGGCATCTGAGTAAGACTGTCCGCTACCTAACATACGTTCATCTTGGCTACATGAGTTATACAAGCAGCCGAGACATTTGGGGAATGCTTAAGATACATCTGTAGTAGGACATTTTACAAGGCTGCTTTGAAAGCTATTTGTACAATGTTCATATTTCCTTCTGAATGATTTGTTTTGTGACAGATTATTTTGGGCAATCACTAATGGCATTGATCCTCATAACCTAGAGAAAATGATTGTGGAAATGTTGCCTACAACTCCCAATCAGATTCTGACATTTATTATATTATTTTTAAAATGGGTCTAATTTTTTCCGCATTGTGTTCAGCTCATATGTGATTAATCATGTATACACCTCTGCTTTGTTAAATACATATGCTGAAAACTGTTCATGTATATCAAGCATAGGCTGAAAAATAGAGTTGGCTTGACTATATTACTTGGAAGAAGGGAAACAAGCCATTCATGTGGATACAGATCATGTGTTTGTATTCATGAAAGTCTTTTTCCTTCTCTCTACTGTAGGGGATAGCAATTTTATGTATTTATTTGTATCCCATAAGTCTGTAGAAATCATTGTGCATGGCACCTCTCTAGGTGGACTTCTGGCTCACCACCACGGGCCGCAGGTGTGGCTTAAGCTTTTGTCTTCATCGATCGTGCGTCCAGGGATAGTGATTGATTCCTAGCCACATGTAATTGTATCACATGATATGCGGCATGCCAGCGTTCTTGCCATTTTCAGATGCCACCACTGTCACCCAATCATTAACTTGAATGAATGACAGCTGCCACTTGTAAATGGAAGATTTGGAATTCCCGTTGAAGTAATTTAAAAGTTCCTGATGCAGGAATCCCTAAATGCATCTACATTGTAGGTGCAAATGCAGCCTTAAAGGAGAACTATGGGGTCAGGGCTTTTCCTCATAGTTCTCCTTAGGGTAACGGGAGGACACAAACTAGCGTCCTCCCGTTACCCTAAGCTCAGTATACCGCGAGCTACAGCTTGCGGTATACTGAGACGCCGGAGCGGATCCCGACATCGATGTCGAGATCTGCCCAGCTGCGTGAGTGACAGCTGGCTCTGCCTATCTAGAGGCAGAGCCAGCTTTACCCGCCCCCTCCCCCATCCGTTCCGCCAGTCAGCGCTGGCGGATCGGAGCGGGGAGGGGGGAATCCAGCCCCTCCCCTGTCACGGCAGAGAGCCGTGACAGGATCGAGAGGTGAGCGAACGCCGGTATATGTTCGCTCACCTCCCGATCTACTGAGCCGACCTGTGACAGTCTCATTGTCACAGGTCGGCTAGAACTATGAGGTGAGTGAAAAGCACTCACCTCATAGTTCTCCTTTAAAAGATTCTTCCAACATTATATTTAGCCTTATACTCTGTATCATTGTTACTCTACTCTTTTCTCCTAATTTCCTTTATGATTCTGTATCCAGTTGGGCAGTGCTGTGCATTAAAAGCCTTTAAATTTCCCTTGATTCACTGTGACTGCAGTAAGGTTCAGTAGGCCTAACCTACAGTGACAGCCAGGTTAATGGGACCTCTTGCATCTGAGACGT